ATATATATTTTATCAGCAAAAGAAATTTATTAAAATATTTAATACCAACAACGGAAGCTACTAAATTATCTATCAAAGTTGTTAAGTAGTAGGAAGTAAACTATTTTTATTATAATAAAATATAAGAAAGGGTTTATAGAGAACAAATTAAACCATTTACCTATTCAACCGTTTGAATTCCCATTTAGTGTCACAATATCAACCGTGTTTACTAGAATTAAGTCATCTTCTTAGCTTTTGTTTTCACTTATTTGAGTTAAATCCATGACCAATTTTTTCCCCCAACAAAACAGAAAGAGAAGTACAAGATTTACACTTGCAAAGGTATCACTCTCAACAATAATAAAGAATCTTGATAAGTAGTGTATGAATGAGCCTTTTATAGAGATATATCATTTGGTGTGTTTGAGTTTAAGGTTTAGGGTTTTCCAACAAGGGTTACCTATTTAAACTGCACTGAGAAAAAGAGGAATACAATTGGATAATGACCAATATAAGTGTGTTTTCTGTGAAGAGGAAGAAGAAAGTATGTCACATGTGTTTTTCAATTGTAGTAGGATTTACCCAATATGGCTCACATGTTATAGGTGGGTGAGAGTTTACATGGTGTTACATCAAGACCCCAAACAAAATTTTATACAACATGGCAAATTGAGGTTGCAAGGACTAGATGTGGGAGCTTGGATGACAATATGGTGCTCAATCTTGTGGAATGTGTGGAGGGCAAGAAACAACATCATCTTTAATGGTTCATCATTCGATTATGATAGTGTTATGCAAAATGTTATATTCTTTTGTTGGTGGTGGTTATATAAGGTAAACAAGGGGACAAAATTTAACTTGAGCCAATGGGTAAGCAACATTCAAACCTGTATTCGAATTCAGTAAGATGGCGAAAGCTTACAACAAAAGTGTGAAATCAAAAAGGAAGGAGAACAGTTCAAGTTCAAGGTAGAAGCTAAAAGAGCAACAGAGTTAATCTATGTGTTTGTTACAATACTGCAATTTGCTGTGAGTGGATCTATGTATTTGCTATGATTTTATAATCTGTCACAGAGGGAGACTCTCGTTATTCTTTGACATTACAGTATTCTTGTTTAACGAGAAATGTGGATTCAATGATATTGTTGTACTTATCTCAATTGACATTTCTTGTGCGTAATTGACTTTATTTAATAAAATTGTTGCCTTCCAAAAAAAAAAAATTTGGTGTGTTTGAGTTGTCTAATTCATTTTTTTCTAATTATTTGACGGTTCATGTAAAAAGATAGGTAGCATGTGACTTTATTTTTTGGTTTATCAGTGATTTTCGTAAGTAAATATTCGTAACATGTGATTCTTGTTTCTTTTTTGTGCTTATTCTATTTGGTATCTCATCACTTTTTAAAACCCACAACAAAAGAAATTGATTAAAAATTATTTACGATAGGGTCCTTTTAATAGGTTCAACAAACTAAACATGTAAAGTACCTATTGTGATTGTATAAACTTGTTCTGTTTTTACGAAACAAAATATGCATAAATTCTGTTGTGGTTGTACAAACTTGTTTTATTGTGGTTAAGACTACACATTACTATTAGAAATATAATATGCATAAATTTGATTATTTGGTTCCTTCAATATCAAATATAGAAATCAATACCCAAAACGTAGATTCAAAGACCACCAAAAAAGGTGTTTGAACCAAAACCTTGTACTTTAACAATCGTTGTCCTTTTGAATGACATCCTTCTCTTTGTTGTTCCCATTACTATCACACTCTTAGATCGGAAG